AATTGATTAATCAATTTTAATTAATTAATGTGTATTTATTTTTTTAGTTGTTTGTGGGTTTTAATTGTGAGCCGCCAGAGTCACCCGTTGGGGGAGATGGGCAGCATACAAATGTAATAAATAAATATTATACTTTGAGTGGGGCTAGATTGAGAGGAGTTTTTTTGAGGTAGTCTCTAAACTGTGATGTAGGTATTTTAGGGGTTGCACTACAATTTCTTGTCTTTATCATTTCAAAACGTCCTCCATTTCAACAGTCATGGTCAGAGGGAACTCTGAGCCCAAAAAGAGGGCCAGGCAATCGCTTCTTGCTACCCTTGACCAAATGCATTGCTTATCAGCCTATTTAGAAAAGAAGTAAAGTATGGTGAGCCAATACTTGAGCCTTTACTTCTGATGTCTTGCTTTTATGTGTTAAATGGCAATTGGGAGTTAATGCTCTTTGGAAAAGGAGAAAACTCATTCTAGAGTCCTCCATACTTATGTGATTGCTGTTGATATAATACATTTCACTTTTAAAAAAATAACGTCGTGTGATTGTCTCTTCATTGTCTTTAAACTTTCTAAAGCTGTTCATCATGGGTACATTCCCTAGACATGTATCTTTTCTAGTACATCATAATTGTATTTTGTTTTAAATTCCTAGGCATTATGAAATCAAATTAATGTCATGCAAAAAGAGATGAAGCAGGCTTAACTATTCTACCAACTTGCAAATAAAGAAAACTAAGATAAAAGACCAAGAAAAAAGTCTGGGTTCATGGACACTAAAGTTACACATAAGTTTAAAATAGAGTGTGTGGTGTCACTAAGCTTATGGACATAGTTATTAAAGGCAGGAAACTTAACATAAAATTTAAATAATTAATTAGATTTATATCCTGGCTTGCTGTGGATGAGTGAGCGAGTTTGTAAAATCTTTAGCACTTTTTTCTTAATTGGAGATGTTGGATCAAAAAGTATCCTTACTATAGCAGGAAGCATTTCTAATCACCAACACGCTAGATTATTGTCAACCCATCGTTTTTTTCATGTGAGCATATAAAGTGAAAGAGTGAGCTGTTTTTTCAAGTTGTGGGACCCTCTAGAACAGGGATCAGCTTATGTTGGGCGTGCCATTTGAGCATGCAAATGTACTTTTTGTTAGTGTAGTCCCATAATAAAAGCTAAACATTTATAATCTGAAAATAGAATATTAGCAACTGCAGTCCTGGGGTAGGAAATGCCTGCTAGATCTTCCTCCTAGGAGTATCCTTCATATAGTTGTTAAATATGTAGAACCGTACAAAATAAGAACTCTGCTGGATCAGATCAAAGGTCTATTTAGTTTCACATTGAATGAGGGCAGTAGGACCATCCTGCATGTGCACACCAGCAACTGGTGAGGTAGACTTGTTGCTGAACAGCATGCTATGGATCGATGTGCTTCTCACTCTTTTGAAAGTTGTTATCTAAATATTAGGACAAGTTTTTTAAAGGATGAAACAATGGAAAAAGCATTAACGTAAAATTAAAAAATCCTTTGCATCCTAATAATGTATTATACATTTTAAAAGATTAAAATTTCAAAAATTTTAGCAAAATTGGCATTTTAAAATTCAAGAAACTGCATACTCTATGGAT